AACTAGAATGTTCCCGTTATGAACTTGTGTTATGTCTTCCTTATTGCAATAGTAATTATTATGTGTGCACATGTAGGCCTACGCTTTAAGTTGTGGCTATAGGCTGCTGCTGAGCAACGCACAAGTCATGTAAAGAGTTACTTTATGTATAGAGTAACAAAATAAAGTCATATATTACTTTTTTTTAAATTAATGAGTAATATCTAATATATTACCTTTTTCAGAAGCCTTATAGTGGCTCTAATTAGAGAAAGAGGAGGGTTGTGTCTAATTCCTGGAAGCCGTAATGTTCTTTTAATGTATTTTAAAGTCTTCTTTTACATTACATTACATGTCACTTGTTAGACACTTTTATCCAAAGCGACTTACATATACTGTGGGCAATCCCCTCTTCTTCCTGTTTTCAGATTCAAATTCAAAGATTGTATTTCTCCCTGTTTCAGAGACATCCAGTAATTAGACACGGCCCTGAGGAGCCTTATAGTGGCTCTAATTAGAGAAAGAGGAGGGTCGTGTCTAATTCCTGGAAGCCGTAATGTTCTTCTGCTTCATGTTTGAAAGTGTTTGAGAGTGAAAGGCTTCTTCTACTTCTTCGTTTGAATGCATATTATTAATTCTCCTCCTTCCTGTTTCAGAGCGCGTGTGCCTTCCAGGCGTCTCTGAGCGATGGCGGTCAGATCGTGGCGACGCTGGAGCGCTCCGATCTCCAGGAGAACGTGACGGCGTACGCTGCTCAGATCTCAGGAGGAACAAGGCCCATCATCGTGCAGTTTGAGAACGCCAGCGAGCTGAAGGTCAAGGAGCTGAAGGTCAAGGAGCTGAAGGTCAACGCCTCGCTGCACGGCCTCTGCTACAGCGTCAGCTTGCTGCTGAGAGACGGGCCGGACGGCTGGTCCAAACCCATCAGAACCATCCCAGTGCTCACCAGTGAGTTACCTGTGTTACTTACTGCACATTCTTTATTCACCTTAGCTTTCTACGATTTCAATCATATTTAAACACTGCTATATTTTAATATATTTCTTTAATGTTATTAAAGTTTCTTCAAATAGTTTTCTATCTGTGTTTTTAATGTTTTGTTTTATTTGTATGTGTGCACCACGACGTGTGTGTTAACGTACTTGGTAATAAACCTGTTTCTGATTCTGGTTCTTTATAAACCCCTTAAATATCATGTTTTCTGAGAAACCCTTAACTACCAGGGCGCCAGCTTCATTAAGACTGAACTACTGACATGTGTGTGTGATTACAGTAATGATGATGTGTGTGTTCAGAGCCTCTCCCCGTGCGCAGCGTGCACATCTGGGACTACAGAGAGTCTCCAGAGACCGGCGTGGTGTTCCAGCTGCAGCCACCAGGGGGCAGCGTGTTCAGCCGCGTCAACATCAGCTACAGCGAGGGGGCGGAGCCTCGCTACATGCTGTACAAAGGTTATTACTATATTATATGAAAGGTCTCCCGTCATGCACAATGCCTTTCTGATGTCTTTGATACATCAATACAGAGATGACACATCCTTTACTCAAGTAGAAGTACACACATCCTGTACTCAAGTAGAAGTACACACATCCTTTACTCAAGTAGAAGTACACACATCCTTTACTCAAGTAGAAGTACACACATCCTTTACTCAAGTAGAAGTACACACATCCTTCACTCAAGTAGAAGTACAGATACTCGTGTTTTAAAATACTCTGGTGAAAGTAGAAGTACTGACTAAACTTCTTTCCTCAAGTCAAAGTAAAGAGGCTTTGAAATGTACTTCAGTAAAAAGTACCCATAACTAGCAGCTGTTTTAAAGAGTACCTGACCTCCCTTTATATTAATAGAACAATAATCTCA